AGTGCCCCTGGAAGGTTGGGGACCTGGCCTGGCTCCATTGTCCGCAGGTGCGGCCAGGTACCTCACCTAAGTTGCATAAACCATGGCAAGGGCCCGTCCGCCTCATCGAGGTTCCCAACCCGCAGTCGGCACGTGTTCGGATTGGATCTCGTCGCTGGTTCGTTCACACGTCGCGCTTGAAACCATATGTTGCTCCTCTACCTGATGCGTCATCTCCTGATGTTGCCTTGCCGGGGTCTGTTGCTGCCGACTCACCCTTGCCTGCGTCCGTTGATCTTGCAAGAGCGCCTGTCGTGCCTGTTACAGACAGACCGGCCGTGACACCGCAGGTGACGAGGGGCTCTGCTCGGGGGGTGCCTGCCAGGACTGCGGGAACTTCGAGCCCCGCAGCCCTTCCGACCCCGCTGCAAGCACAATCGCGGGACACCTCCGAGGCTGAGCCTTCGGGGACACGGGACCGGGACGCTGGTGGGCCTCCAACAGCGACAGGAGGATTGCGGCCTGTCGCTCTTAAAACCCCATCACGTTCCCGCTCTGCGGGAGGGCCGGCGACCGTCCGGGACGGGCCGGCGACCCGCACACGTTCTAAATCTCTCACGTTTCGTTAATTGTTCATGTTGTGTTATTGTTCTTACTGTTATATTTATTGCATGCTTCGTGTCCTTTAGTGTGTCTGGGTCGGTTTCGCTCGTTAATTGTTCATGTTGTGTTATTGTTTTTACTGTTATATTTATTGCATGCTTCGTGTCCTTTATTGTGTCTGGGTCGGTTTCGCTCGCATTACTTGTCGGAGTCCTTGTTCAGCCGAGGTCGGCTGGGTTTTCTCTACGGGGGAGGGTGGTGTAATGCGGGCGTAAACGACCTTCCGGATGTGATGTCACGGGGGGGAGGAGTTACGTCACGTGGGGGTAAGGGTTCAGGTCTTAAAGGGGAGAAACCGGAAGAGGAGGGGAGTGATTGGAGACTGGGCTAGAGTGAGGCCACGCAGGGCGAGGGCTGGGGGAGTGGCGAGATCGCCACACACACAGAGTACGGTCGGCACCGTCGGCCAGCGGTGACCGACCCCGGAGGAACGGGGAGCAGCGGTGAGGCTGCAGCGAGAGCAGCCGGGGAGGCTGCACGAAGGGATCAGCAGCGGGGCTGCCTTGAAGGAGAGAGACAGCAGCAGTGAGGCTGCAGCGAGGCCAGCCGGAGAGGCTGCACGAAGAGGTCAGCAGCGGGGCTGCTGGAGGACGGAGGAAGGCTACAGCAGCGACAACAGCGTCGGCCGCGGAGCGGAGGGTCTCTGAGAGAGAGCCGTGTGGGAAAGAGAAGACGAACCCAAATAAAGGACACCAAGCCAGATACCGTAGTCGAGTCCTTTATTACACCTGTACCAGACACCATTGCAATAATTGAAGACTTGGTCAAACAAGGACTGAATCCAAATGTACCAACTTTGGTAAGGCACTGCCTTACCAACACATACTTCACCTGGAATGGTACTTTCTACAAACAAAATGAGGGTACCCAAATGGGTTCTCCCTTATTGCCAGTGGTAGCGAATGTTTTCATGGAGAAATTTGAGACAGATGCCATCCAGCCATGGGGAGACAACCTTCTGAGGATCCAACAAAAACCATCACTTTGCCATACATAGCAGAGGTTACCAAAAAGATTTCCAAAATCTTAAACAAACACAAGATCCAGGTTCGTTTCAAAACAGTACACAAAATCTGTGACTTAATCCCATCTGTAAAGGATGTGATTCCTGACATGCAATACCCTGGTGTCTACAAACTGAGTTGTGGTTGCGGCAGCAGTTATATTATGGAAATGAAACGACATGTCTCGGACCGCGTTCGTGAACATAAGGCATATCTGAAACATGGTAGGACCAATACCTCTGCCGTTGCTGATCATTGTTTCAACGCTGTGGGCTCACACGAAATAGATGTTTCCAAGATGGAGGTACTCTGCAAACCTATTGGCTACCTTCAGAGATTTGTTCATGAAGCCATCCAGATATATAAACACAGACACAACTTCAATCGAGAAGATGGGTACAAACTGAGCAATCATTGTAAGGACGTTATTAACCAGGTAAAGTCAGATGTTATTTACGACTGTCTCTTTCTATGCCTCTCTCTTAGATCTCTCATGCTCATATGTCCTTTGCATTGCACTCTCATGCTCACATGTCCTTTGGATTGCACTCTCATGTCCTTTGGATTGCACCACTCGTCGTTCTTACATTAGCATGCTAATCTTTAACATTAACATAGCCACTTCTGTGCCCTGGCCGAGTAGGCCACTCTTCGTTCTCACATTAACATCACTAGCCCCGCCCACTTATTTATGACCCTTGGGCTACACTCATTTCAAATATTTTAAAAGTCTGCCTCAGCATTGGATCATGCTTTCCCACCTAATGAAGGACGCTTGTGTTGTGCCCGAAACGTCGTGATTTACTTGATTTTATACCTACGTGACTTTACCGAAAGAACCAGAGTATGGATTCCTGCAGTCACGAAAGCTTCAAATCAGTTTAGATGTATACATTTCCTGACGTACCGTTGTTGATTATTATTTATGTATTATCAGTAATTTAACATGTATGCAAATTGTGACCGTTATTGCCAATAGTTAAACATGTGTAGTGATTCACTCGGAGACACTAGGAGTAGGAAGCACTATTTATGAACAGCCTTCAAAGTCCACAATAAACTCCAGCTCCCAGTCAGGATAGCTGGCAGACTACCTGACTGACGACGCCAAGAAGGTGAAGAAGTCGATGGCGACGAAGACTCCAGCAGCACGACGGGATCCCACTCCACACAACAGCCCGAAGCCCTCACCTGGGGTCCCTTTTATCCTCCCAGCGTGGCCTCCCTCCGCCCCAGCTACGCCCCCTTTCCAGAACCGACTCGCATGTTTCTGGGCTTCTCTCCCGTGCCCCCTCTGTAACCTTTCCCTAACATCCCTCTCTCTGGCTTGTCACAACCACCACCACGACCGACATGACGGCGCTAATAGGTGCCACTCGCGAACATCACTTGCCCCAACATTCTGTTAATGGCTACACGGGGGTGATCTTTGTTTGTGTGGGGAACGGTGGTGCAGTGGTTAGTGCATTGTGCTATGAACCTGGCCACCCGGGTAGATTTTCGCTCACGGCCAACACCAGTGGCGATTGTCTGAACCGCCACTGGAGAGACAAAGGCGGTCGGGCGTGGTGCTGGCCACCCACCCAATCGTGCGCCGTGCCAGCCTTCATAGGTGCTCACAAACAAAACTTGCCCCAACTGTTTGTTAAGGCTATACCGGGGACCTTGTGGCCAACTGGGCCCCTAAGCATCGCACATACTGCGAACTCCCTAATTGTACCCCTGTGTATAAACCCTTTATCCCCCAAGGGTTATGTTCTTGAAAACGCTCACGAATGCCGAATTCGTGAATGTAGAAACCTTGTTCAACGGTAAAAATGGGGTTACGTTCCTGGTACAAGTTAACATAGGGGGGAAATTGTAAATGTTTAATAATAACTACAATAAATATATTATACATAAGGAACAACGTATTTTTTATTCTTGGTTATGATGATGATTTGACGACGATGGAGGTGGTGGTAATGGTTGTGCATTCAGGTGGATCGCTCCTCAAGAGATGGAATAAGAGAGGAAAGTGCAGACGCACTTTTATCTCTCATTGGACGCTTGAGAGCCACGATTAAGGATAGAGGACCTTCAGGATGCCGAGTGTGATCTGGAAATGAATTCCAGACTGAATCGGGAGGTAGCCAAACGATTGGAATATTGGGGCGATACCGTCTCAAGTGCGGAGTGTGACCATGAGACATTTCGGGAGACAGCAGAGGGGGGAGAGAAAGAGAGTTGTATCATCGAGCCTTTTTAAGTGAGTTCCAGCATCTTGTGGCCTTCTACAACGGCATTATTCCTCCTCCGCAGAAGTGGTCGCTGAGCAGCTGCCCTGTGTGCCGAGCCATGCACGCAGCATGGCGCCCCTGGGCTGAGTGACCACGCCGCACAAGTTCCACTGCTTGAGCCTAGACGTCTAAAGTTCAGCATTGGACTTGATGAGACCAAGATCTCTGATCAAGTCGTTTTAGGTATTTTTGGTTGGGGTAGTATGGGTTTCTCTCCTCAGCTCCACCTCTGAAAGTGTCATCTGGATCTACGTCTTCCTCGCTCTCTGACTTGCTTCCCTCTTCTAAAGATGGTTGCTCACTCTCCGGAGGAGTGGCTATGGGGAGCTCATGGCAGTGTGGCAATGGGGCGATGGATGAAGGAAGGTCCGGATACATCATATCAGGTGCATTCTTGCCAGTCCGACGTTTGGAAGGGTCCATCATGCAGAAGTTGCAGTTGCTTGAGTGGTCAGTGGATTCCCGCCAAATTCTTGGGATAGCAAACTTAATGGCTCTCTTTTCACCTCTATACCATCCTACAAAAATATTTATTTCACTCATGACTAATGTGTAAAAGATTTTCGCAACATTTATCATATATGATATATTTTTTCAATAACATTGAAAATTGTAAAACATTTAAAAATAAAAAAGAGACATAGCAAAATGTATCTGCCGGATGCTTGCAGCCTCTTGATGCCATCTCAGAAAAATGTAGATATGTATACACTTCGGCAGCTGGAACTAAACTGAACTGGTGGGCTTAAGGCCCCTGTATTTATACTAATATTTATATTACTGGAAAGTTCTAGAATGTTTTAGAAGTTACTCCAAGTTTATTCAGCACTGAATCTATCTGGAATGTTCTGGAAAATAGGTACATTTAGAAATATCACTGTCCTGGCCACAAAAGCAAAGTTTATGGGGAATAATAGTCATTTTCTGTGCTTTTGAGGCACAAGCAATTCAGAAATAAGACTTACTACCCAGGAACAAAAACTAATTGTTACACAGTGTAATCTACCAGCTATAATACACCCCTTATATGTCTTGCATCATTTATAGTCAGTCGTAAAAACTTTCAAAACTCAGATTTTGTACAATTGCATTTATTTTGTAAGAGAATGTAAAAATCACATTATACTCTTAGTTTAACTGTAGCTAAAATACCCAACAGCCATTAAACTGCTATAACTCACAACAATCAGACCAGTCCCATAGACATCATGCAGCAACATAAAAACGCAGCCAACCTTATCGCTAACAAAAGCGATACAATTATAAACTATACGTAACGTAAAACAATACGTAAAATATTGCATATATCTCCATTTAGCCTCGTATAATGTCATACTTAATAAAAAAAACACATTTGTTTAAAGGCTTATTTCACAAGTGGAAAGCATAGCAAATATCTCCTTCTGTGTGCATCAGTATCCCATATGGCAAATTCAACTTAAAATTATTAATGCTTAAGAAGCTCAGTTTCACGAAAGATAGAATGCTTCCACCTGGTTACCGTTTGATTGTGAGGTCATGGGGATACATTGGTTGTCCACGACTCTCGTGCTTTGTGTCTCATTTTCCATGACAATTCCAGGGGCTGCACTGGAGAACAAAAACATTGGGACACAAGTGTTGCTTGTAGACAAATGGCTTTAGAGATGTTACTGGAATTACAATACGTCTATATCAACTTCTGAGAGGACTACTGTGGAGATGGAGGTGGATGTGCATAGCTCATGTGCAGGAGTGAGATGGATTGGTCGCATTGCAAGGACCATGACGAATGGCAACGGAGATGCCTTCATCCAGCAGTGGATAGATAAGGGCAGAGAACATCAATGTTTATAAACAATGTGGTTATGGAGGCTCATATGCAGATACCGAATTACTTTTCATAGTTAACCAGGCTGATACCCATAAGACACCTCAACACCATAACACAGGGCTGCCCCTTTCTTTGGTTCCAATACATTAACATTAGCTGCCCTGCCCATCTCTAAACCTTTATAAACAGCCTGCCTCAGCAGCTTTCCCCCTCTTTTTTTCTCCTGATGACAATTGCTTGTGTTGCGATCGAAACGTCGTGATAATTTTTATTCACTTTATTTAAATTTTTATTCGTATTTTCTTATTATTTTTTCTACCTACGTGACTTTACCGTAATAGCCATAGAAAATGAATTCCTGCATTCACGGAAGTTTGAAGTCAAAATTTAAATGGAGATCATTCTCGGTCACATGCATGCTCGTGCACTGTGCAGACATTGTTATCCATATGCATTAACCTTCTCATAGAAAATGACCTAACTGCTACTGAGCTTTTGTTGTCCAATGTAACCACGTAGCCAGGGCTGCTGCCCTCTCCCAGCTGAAGGAGGTTAACGGTCATCGTAATAAGCCCTTGGAATTACCCCAGCCACCAAAATACATGACCTAAAATGCAGTGGTTGTGAATACTCACATTACTTCCAATATTTCTAATAAGATTATGAATGACAAAAACAGTATTAGCATTTCAGCATTATGAATATCTGCAACAGTAACAATAAGTCGGTTTTACTTGAACGTCCTTCATTTAAACTCTTGACCAATTGTTTAGTATTGTATGAAACCTGACTCTACACAACAGTAACATCTATATACAGGACAGTAACCTACTTTCTGTACAGTAAACCCTTGCGATGTGCGAGTTCTGGATTCGCGAGTTTTGCATATTCACGAGTTACTAAATGTATACTAATTCCCTATTCGCTACCCGCCGGACTCTAGTGTACGCGAGTGTACGGAGTGCTGACAGACCACCCACGTCGGTGTGGGTGGTCTGCAAGCACGCAGAATGTTACTATAGTACAGTACTGTACATGTTACGCTAGAAACTGTCTGCAAAGATTAAGCACAACTCCTCTGCTGCCTGCTGAGTTCTCAGTGTCACAGTAATCCTGCTCTTGTACATTTTTACTTTATATATACTTAGTCGACTCGTTTATATATTTTGTTATGAGTCGACTGTGAAGTCCATTAAAAAGAACGTGATTGCAATCAGGGAAAGTGTTTGCGGTTAGCGCTCCCTAGTGCTAAAATGATAACTGTGTGGGCGTTGTTATCAAACACTTGGATCTCCCGAGGAGTTATCCTCCTGAATTCCTCACCATCACCACCACCTCCATCATCGTCAAAATCATCATAAAAAGTTATTAAAGTGTTCTTTATAATGTATTATTTATTGTAGCCATTGTTATTAAACATTTACCATTTCCCCCCTATGTCCACTCGTACCAGGAACGTAACCCCATTTTTCCCAAATGAGCAAGGTTTATGCATGCGCGGATTCTGCAGCGTTTTCAAGAACCTTACCCTCACAGATAGAGTTTACTCTACTAACCTAGGAAGCACAACACATTAACTCAATGAGATCAACCAACCCTACCTTCCAGTCCCTGGTGAACTAAATAACACCACCACACCCACAAGACAGGGTGTCAGTGGGTGATTTTATAACGTTTTAATAGTGTCAGCATCACAATAGCAGCTAAGGGTATGACTAAACAGTTTACCAGTTCCAGGTTCCCCTAAATACTGACCCGTCAGTTTCCTCCAAGAAATGGATGAGAATGTTATCGAGGCAGCATTCCGTTGATACATCACATAGGTCCACACATTCTGCTGGATAAACATAACTGCATTACCGACCCATTGCTGGCTCCGTGACCCTTGCCCAGCTTTGGCGTGCCCTTTTAACTTGACCTTGCAGGTAATTACTATTGACAAGGAGGCATTCGCCAAGACGGATATGAAGCGGTGATGCTTCGGCCATTTTCCAGTATAACATGGAAAAAACAGCCAACAGAGGGCAAAATTAACAAAGATGTATGGTGAACTTTATGATGGGAATCAGGGTCTACATTTCTTGAAAACAACCTGCACATTGATTACATTAATATCTCAACAGCTTTTTATCACGTTGTCACGCTATTACAAGAAACCCCCACTATATTTTGACGATATCTGCGTTGTTTTTCCGATACGTGGCTGCTTAGGGAACACATTTCCTTACAAGTGTAATGTTTCGCATGAAAGATTGTGCAATGATGAGGAGCTGTCAAATGATCTGGTACAGCTGGAACGAGCTGAGGAAGAGGCCAATGAAACGATACCACCATGAACATTGACCAGTGCCATTTACTGCTACACGAAGCTGTACCAGCAGCAGCAGAAGATAAATGATATCCAGCTGTCTTTGGACAGACTTGTTCACCGTTCTGCAATCGAGCCAGATGGTCCGGAGAAGAGCCCAGAGGAGAGGCAGCTTCCTTTCTGGTGGACATTCCCGTGGCTCCAGCTTCATCATCAGATGAATAGGCCGGTGAACCTGCCCCTTCATCTGCAAAACTCTACCACTGCTGCCCATCGATCAGCAAGCTTCTTAACCATATCTTGCAAGTTTTACCTAGTTATTTGTATTATTTATTAGTTAATATGTATATTAACCTATAATCATATGCATTTGTGTGCACTTCACGACATTTAGTCACGTATTTCTCTCCCAAAATTGTCAGCTCGGAACACAACCCGCCATTTCAAAATTACGTCGATGGGAAATGAGTCCGCTTTAAGTAATTTCGAGTTGAGTAGCATTTCCCAGGAACGCAACCCTTATATATAGCAGGGGGATTCCTGTATTCATCAAAACTAGTTGTGATGTCTGATAAGTTCCAGTCTTTATGTGCCATGAGGGCAGAGTTGAAGGCTTGCTGACAGCTCGGTTTGAAAAAACATGCGATTGTTGGGAATTCCCAAACACATCCTTCACAAGCCCTCTCTTTAGACATATGCCCCGACATCACTAGTATATGCCATGAACATTTAAACTCGGTCCCAAGATCTCCTGCATCCAATTTTCCCATTTTTGATTGAACCCAATGGTGTTTCTCTTTTTTTACATATGGTGGGATGCAAGACAAACATTATCTCTTATTCAGTACCACCCCATGGACTTTTTTCAAAAACTTTAGAGCATCACATTAGAAAGTCAAAAAGGATCAAAAATAACAAAGCACAGATTCTCTCACAAGCACACCGCAAGATTTGCATGGGGGTGACAGGCTTAGGATCCGGTGCCATTATCAAGTCAATGTCTTGACGCCCTCTAAAAGCCAAACAGGTATAGTGATACGTGTCAAAAGTTTTGAGATAGTAATGGGTCACTGCTCTAGTACATCCACTGCTCTGCCCTCTTAAAAGCCGCACACCACTGTTGCGGTCGTAGTGAAGTTGGGAGAACCATCATTGATGGTGCAGAGCTATCAGAGGCCAACACGTCCTACCTTGTGAGAAATCGAAAAACAGGAAATCATTAGATTGGCCAGCACACACACGATCAGAACCTTGGGCACCCAGGTCTTTTCCATTATTTGTACAAGAGAACGTCACGTGTTCATCTCTGCAATGTTAAAGTGCAAGGTCAATTAAGTTGGTTACATTTGTGAGTTGTATATAAATTGTGGTTGCCATAGTGAAGGGCACCTGCCGCAGGCTTCAGTTTGGTTTCACACAGTGTGAGCTGCTGTGCACATATGGGCCTAACAAATTCTAACTGTTATACTCAACGAGATCTTACTCTCCAATTTCATCAATGGGATATATGCGCAATGAGTCGTGTTTCACTTTATATTTCATTGAAGACAACTGGCAGGTATGGAGTGGCAGTCTGTGGTGGAGTGCAATGGGGTTGCGAATCTGTGAAAGACTGGTATCCCCGTTATGTAAGGAACACGTACAATAAGCCACCAAAAATATTAGCAGATTAGTACCAAATACCTTAAATATGGATTAATGCATCTGACAATTCCTGTGGGAGTATCGTTTTAAAATCTTGTACTCATGACTCCCCCAGTTACATTGAGGTGCTCAGTGACACGTGTGCATACCAAGTGCACCATGCACTCGATCCCCTAAAGCACAAGGCTTTATTATCCACCTGAACCAATCCCGAGTTCAAGTATCCCATCTCACGTCACAGTTGCTATTGCAACACAATTTAATTAATACATTGGTGCCTCAACTATTTATACATTCTAGCACTAAAATTAATTACGGTGCCCAATGACAACAGCGTCGAAGCTAATTTCCCCCATTCTTCAATACAGCTCAGTAGCGATCATTTAAGTCAGAGAGGTGATTGCCGACCACCGATATAAACCAGGGCATCAGAATTCCATTCTGAACCTTGACACACTCTTTCAGCCTCTAAAATATTCGACTGAAAAAGAGTGCACTCGTACTAACAACCGAGACCACTCATCTAAACATGAAAAAGATGCCAGAATATCACGCGTATAAAATGTTAACGCTACTGAAGAGCCAGTGAAATTACCAATGCCCTGGATGTTTATGAACAGCTGGAGCAACAACAATCATTACATCAACACAATTGATCACTTCACTGCAATTTGATGTTTGGGAGCAAAATGTGTCTGAGCCTATTGTACAGACACTAGTCAGTAATGTAAATATTTTAAGACTTCAGTATCAATTCCACAAAAAAAATCGAAGCCTGTGTCAAGTCTAATAATGTCAACTTAACACGTAGGCTTTCGCAACCAATATTATCCATAAGAGGTTTTTGCCTTAGATCGTGTAAATATAAGTGTTGTTAAACCCGCCACCACCCAACTCAGCCAATACCTACTATAATCACCCAGGAATGTCTGTCCTTAATGCTCGTGACGTCACTCCACATCGACCAGCCCCCCTCGTTAATATTCATGAGCAGTTGACATCCTCCAAATGGACACCCCCCCCATTCATAATAATTAGCGGCTGACGTCACTCCACATGTTTGTCCAAGGCGCCTACTCCCCCCCCCCTCCACGGCGTCAACTCACAACCCTCACTACAAAGGCAGAACCCACACGTCACGCGATCTCCGTAACGCTATTGAGACATCAAAGTAAAAAGGACATCATGATGAACAAGGGATTATAACCTTAAAATGAAATAGGTCTGTGTCACCGCACCCTTACAAATTGCACACACGTTAATGCAATGAATAGCACGTCGCGGTCTGCTTATCACTAGCAAGTATCAGATTTACTGCAATACACCCGTCCTTAAGACGGGCAAAAGGCTAGTTTGTACAGTTTGTCACACCGGTGTGTTGGAGAGTAAACCCACAATATTTACAATTCAAGTACAAAGTTTTGCCGGTAATTACAACCAGCCTCATCAAGCGACAGCCAGAATTGTGGCTCGACTCTCCAACACATCGGTGTGCTGAACTAGTAACTAATTTGCACGTTTTGTTTACGAGACAAACCTTACTAATGGCCTGTGTCTGGTGGTGGTGGCTGGTTTAACGACACATTAATATTTACGCGATCTAACCCAAAATAACCTCTATTATGGAAGTCTAATGATCCTTGTACAATGCCGGATTCTGCAATTTGAGGGAGACTTTCAACCGATACAAGCTTCCACTCAACCAATAACAACTCTACACGGTGTCTCCGTATCTACCTTACACAATTTGTGGTGTCACAATGTATTATTTGACATTTTGACAGAGTAAAAAAAAGAATGTGAAATTTTCATGAATTGATGGTTGATAAACATGCCATTAATGCTGCAGTTTCATGTGGGGTGATTTAATGCCTGCATACTTCATTTATCTTGTAGAATTTTTATAAACCTTAAATTTCATGTATATGCCACTGCTGGATGGAAATGTGTTGTGAAGATTCAGTTAAGACAATTTCTCTAATGCATGCCATTAAATTGAAACTGACAATACATTGTAGGCCACTAGTTTTGTCTTCACGTTGCTATTGTGTTATAAAAAATGTATAGAACAGTATTTTGTCTGACATGCATTCTTAAAAACAAGTTTTACTCAATTGAAGTTACAAATAAACAATGAAGGCCATCATTAAGGATATGTAATCACCATAAATACCTGATATAAATGGCATTAATTGTATTTAAATAACTTAGAGTATTTTCAATATTTCAGATGAACACAACGTTGTCTACTATCTAACCGTAAGCAAAACAAAAAACGATGTTAGTTGACATGTAGTATGTGTGTATTTTTTAATAGTGAGCGATTGCCAAGCAGACTGGCTGGGGTAACTCCTGTCTCGACTCAGCGCTGCGTCACCATGGCACTAGCAAAATTTTGTACAATTTACTACGACAAGAAACATATTACAATTGGAAAGAGAGAGATATCTTCAATGACCTTTCGTAGAAATATTTTTTAAAAATACAAAAAATATATTTTTGAAATGATTAAAGTCAGTTTCATATCACCATGAAATTCGTGAAAATCGCTTTCCAACATTTCTATGAAATGAAACCCCCTTGTGGTGTCTGTGCTCACTCTGAGGTACGCCTGGATGAGTGTAGAGATTGAATGGCAGCCCAAGGAGATAATACATGTGAAGATAACCACTGTGCAGCAGATGGAGCAACGAGGTCAGTTCCTAATGAGCGAGATGGAACCATCGCTTAGCAGAATGGCAGCAGCTTGAGACTGCATTCACCAGATGGAGACACTACAGCTGATGCTTATATCAGAAGAGCTGACAGTGATAAGATAATGATGGTAGATGAGGAGCTAATGGCATTGAGGTGAAATAAATTAATGATGACAATTTAATTCCTGCTGCCGACCCCATAACAAATCGCTGCTCATGCTGCCACAAGCCCTGAGGTCTGGCACACTACACGATCAGACTGTGACGAATTCATCCTATTTTAAAATTCATTCGATATCCTGCATTTAGTTTTGTCGACTAAAGTGGTTATGCGCATGGGTAATTGCATGATAATTCTGCTCACCTATAGTCACAATCAGCACCCACGACATTAATGTGGAGCGGTGCGATTTCGCTGGAAGGACATTGGTTTTATGACTCATCACAGTAACATCATTCCACCATCGTAATGCCCTGCCGATGTGAACGATTCCTGTGGATTAAAAATAGGGACAAAATATTCCAAGCGAGGCATTGCACTTCTAATATGGCTGACACCAGCGTGCCTCCTGATTTTGCCATGAAATTATATGAAGAAATAAAAAAAACATCAGTGAGAAATTAGATGATAATGCGAGTACAAAGTACTTCCTCATTCCAGGTTTAAACAGGTCTGGTTTACACGCGGCACGTTCACAGAACGGTCTCTCACGCAGCCACCGAAATTATTTGCAATTACCACAACACAATAGGGTATCCAGGACATTGCAATCGTTTTACTTGAGTCTAAAAGTTAACGTAATTATAAAAAGTGTTGTTTTTAAATCTGCTGTGTTTGAGTCCAAACAGTGTTTGTTTATCATTTACTTGTATTTGATAAAATCAGTAACAAAAAATCCCAAATGAAGATACCTCTTTGGCTAATATGTACAGCCTTATAATCTTTGGTTTAAAATTAAAATGAGTGAACCACTATCCATATCATAAGTGAAGACAAAGGATTACAGAGTATTACTCAAAATAGTTCAATTTAGTTGAAGGCTAGTTTAGCTCAACTACATAATCGCAAACCACACGCAAGACATTTAAGACCTTAGGCAGGTTTTACGAGACAGCATGTGGAACGTTGTTGCACTTGAAATGTGCCGTGCCGTGAACGCAGCCTTATGATCAGTATACCGATTTCTGTGCCCTCAACAATAAACGCATCTACCATGTGATCACTGCCTTCGAAGGCCTACTGGATAATGCGTGTTTTACATTTCAATGCACGTTTAAAAAAACGTTTGGATTCAGTGGTTTGGACAATGCCTCGCTGTTTAAGGGGGTATATTGTGAAACAATAACCTTTGGATAGCGCTTATCGAATGCTCCCGAAACATGTTGCCAAAATAAAAATCTTGGGCGAGCAATGACTAGTGACAATGTAAATTGTATTTGAGCTTTGTATTTAAATATTCTTTGGGTCTTTCGGTAAAGCCACATAGATAGAAAAATAATAAAAAATATCACAACGTTTCGATCGAAACACAAGCAATCGTCATAAAACTTTTTAAAAATAAATTTTATATCTACGTGGCTTTACCGAAAGACCCAAAGAATATGAATTCCTGCAGTCACAAAAGCTTTAAATCAAGATCTGTATTTCAACTTTGCAAATAAATGCTGGGATTAATGTAACAAGAATGAACTGTATTCCTTTTATATAATTTCCCCATTACCCTTCGAATTGTACAGCTGTTCGATTCACTTCATTAAGCTGTGTCATTAAAACCATGCATAGGTGTATGGACACACATAAAACAATTGACATGTGAATTCCCTTAACGCAAGCGATGACAAATAGAACCGGAAGGTCTGTTTGGATGCATGGTTGGTCTCTGGTTACTACAGCGAACTGACATGAGTGATGACAGAATGAGCAAAGAGAAATTCACGACTTACTTCAGCACCGACGCACTGTACAGGGAGAGGCAAACACTGGGATGATGCGTACATCCGTTGCCTGAGTTACGGCGCGTATGACGTTCATGCAGAGGCCAAGAGTCTCCCGCGTCACCTGTGTGCACGTGCGCACCACTCCCCACCGGAGCAAGCGTCGCATGCGGTTCAGCCCGAAAAGACACTCGCACTCTGGTCGTGTAAGAAGCTCGGCGCGTAACGACGCTTGCACCCTAGTCGTGCGTGAGGCGGGTGCTGTTGTCCCGTTTGGGGGGCGGTGGCGGCGCCGCTGCTCGGCGCAACGTGGCGTACCTCGAGACACCGGGAGAGACCGACGGGCTGTCGGGCTCCCTCAGGAGCTCCGGCGGTGGCGGCGGCAGGGTCGTGTCATCCGGCCCATGCATGGGCGAGCCCACGTGCTGCTTCAGGGACTTGCGCTTTAAGGTGCGATTGAGATCGGCGATGAAACTGGCCTGCGCCAGACCACCCGGCCGGCTCGGAGAGCTCGATGGCGAGGCGGCCGAGAGGGCGCTGGGACTACCCGGGGCTCCTGGGTTGGATGCATCAAGGGCTTCCGCCACGAGCACTGGTGGAGAGCCCGGGGCATCTGCCTGTCCAGAGAGCCGTGTGCTGTCGCTGCGTTTGGGCAGCGTGGGCGGTGCCACTTTTTTCTGTGAAAAAGCTGCCTTGGTAGAGGAGGGTTTGGGCGGGGACGGAGCTGGTCCCTCGTGACTGGAGGGGGCGGCTTGTTTGCGGAGAGGACTTTCTTGACCGCAGGCCACTTTGGAGGCCTGAGGCATGTGCACGGGTGGTGGCTTGGGCATTGTTGCTGGGGGCCCTGAGGGCTGCTTTGCATGAAGAGGCAGCTCTGGAGGGGGGGGTAAGCAATCTACGTTCATAAATGGCGGTGGAGGAAAGTCTGCCTCCTCTGGAGGTGGAGGGGGCGGCAGCTCAGGAGACGTCACAGCAGACTTGAGCTTGCTCCCAGGTGGTGGGAAGACGATAGGAATATTCCTTGCTGCAAAGTTCAACTTCCCAGGCTTGGCCTGTGTGGAGGGAGCACTGCTCATTGACGTTTGCTCGGTGTCGGTCACATCCATTCTCTCCCCTACAGATGCCACGCCCGCTCTTGATTCCTTGACACTAGAATTCCGTTGTGGGGTAGGAGGCGGCCTCTTGCCAGAGCGCGGTGAAGCCCCATGCGAGGGTGAACTGGGCACTCTCTCCCCAGGGATGCTAGTGGGAAGCAGGTGATGTGGGATTTGTTTAGGAGGGGGCAGTGGAGGGGGAAAGGGTAGGAAGCCCTTTTGTGTGTCAGAAGCCAGAGGCGGAGGTGGAAAATCCTCATCTGGTCTTGGTGGGCTAAGTGGAAACGTGGAATGGTTGTTGCTGACTGGAGTGGGAAATCGAGCACTGAGGCCAAGCTGTGAGTGTGCTGCCAGAGGGTAGGCATTAGCAGGTGGAGGAGGTGGGGGTGGAGGAGGTGGGGCCTGGCATGCAGACATCTGCACTAGTGGCTGTGTTTTGCAGGCTTTGACTGCAGGCTGAGTTACCGCGGGAAACGGTGGCAGTTGAGGAGGGATTGGTTGTGTAGACAATGCATGGCCTGGCAGTGCCACAGGAGGTATGTGGGAGGTATTCACAGCCGATGTGGACAGTTTAACAGAGTAGTTAATCACCTGGGCAGGAGCAGCAAGTTTCACTGGTGGCTGAGACAATGTTGGCATAGATGGAGGTGGTGGGGGTAGAGGCATCGCCTGAACTCCTGGCAGCTTAGTGAAGCTCGCTGGCAGTGGAGGGGGAGGTGGTGGTAAAGGTCCCATCAACAGATGTAGAGAGTCGGGGTGGGTGGGTGGGAGAACTGAAGGGATGCTACAGTTTTGAAAAGGAGGTTTCAATCCTGACAGAGGGGGAGGTGGAATGGCATTCGCCTTGCTGTCACCCTCAGCTTTTGCATGCCTCTCCTGTTAAGGAAACAAGGGGATAGGTTAGCATTCAGATACGTGTGTCCACGTTACATTATACGTAAAACCCAATTGTAGTTGAAAATGCCATGAACAGTCACAATTGCAGCAACTGATATGTGCCAATCTAATCATATACTAATTATTATGAATATTTATTACACTACAGCTATTCCAAAATCAGTGCTCGCCTAAGGAGTTTTAATTTGAGAGCAAATATTGATTCATAACTTGTAATATACAAGTACACACATAGGAATGTTACACGAAAAAGATAATTAAACATTAAAATGCTTGCAATATATTGAGCAAACTACGACAAAGCCTTTTTAACTCACAACTAAGTTTCAGCTCAAGAGACATTGATGAGCAGCAGCAAGCCAAGGGCCTTACACACACACACAGGACCTACAGCAACGTCTCACAGAGTTGGATTCGGGTAAGCCAGAAATTTTACCAAAACAATGGAGACCTTTTTAAATATTCCAATTATCTAAGCTGCAATGCAACGAGATAAGGTGCAACGCCCGATGTATATATTGTGTAGGAAATCTCAGGTGTGCTTATTAAGACCAGGAAGTGTAAAAGCACTATCCCTAATCATTGTTGGAGAGTAAATACAGCTGACATGCTGGAGCCATTCGAGCTGTATATACAGTTATCTATATAAAAGCACTGGCCACACATTTGCGAGGAATATAACTCAAGTGAATTCCTCTCTGGCCTGGTCTCAATCACAACATCGACAATAATAATGACATAATAGTATCTTCTTGGTTCTTTCGGTAAAGTCACGTAGAAGGGAAGTAATAAAATAATAAAAATAAAACATAATAAAATAAAATAATTCTCACGACGTTTCGGCTACAACGCAAGCAGCCGTCTTCAGGTGAAGAATGAGACACTGCCAAGCTAGGAGCTTATATATAAGCTGGGTTGGAGGTGGAAGAAGAGCGCCTTAACAAAAATAATGTGCATATGAAGAGGAATTTAGCATATTCATGGGAAATGCGTAGGAGGTGGGCGGGGGGGTTTCAAAGTCATATTATGCCCATGCATTATGCAGGATCAGCAGCACCAAAGGGAGGGTGCATGGGGTAGCATTAACAAAGGAAAGGAATGTTAATAGTATGTAACTACATAAAAAACTAAAGTATAAACTGCATAGCATCATCAGTATACTTACTATACTCTAAAATAAGCTGAGTTACTAACAGTAAGTAATACATTACAATTCTACGTCGTAAAAATTATATAATATGCTTCCATCTAAACTATTCTTTTACATCACACGAGTATACACCGTACTATATACTGCCATAGACAAATCCAACATTAAATTAAATACTGTATTGCTATAAACCACCTTATACATTTTAATATAACACTATGTATTATTCTACCCACCCTAATGTGTATCACACTGCTATATGTTTACTATACAATTACGATACTATATATTACTTTGTACATTGTATTAAGCATATAAATGTTATACTATTTTGTTATTATACACTGTATCATTGACCGTCGTGTCAATGGGTGAGTCGTGGGGGGAAACTTGCAGCGGAGCAAAGAATCCATTCCCTGCGGAGAATACAATGCCAGTGAGTGGAACGTGGTCTGAAAGTCACCGTAAACGTGAACACAATCAGTTAAGATCCGAAATAGTTTATTACGTCCTTCCAATGATTGCTAAGCCAGAATCCATCTTCTCGGTTGAAATTGTCTCTGTGTTTGTATATGTGGATCGCCTCATGAACGAATCTCTCATGATAGCCAGATGGCTTGCAGAGAACCTCTGTCTTGGAGAAGTCAATGTCATGTGAGCCCAATGAATTGTAACAGTGATCTGCCACGGCTGAGGTGTTTGTCCTACCGTGTTTCAGGTCTGTTTTATGTTCACGGATGCGGTCCGAGACATGTCGTTTGGTTTCCCCAATGTAACTGCTACCACAGAGACAACTTAGTTTGTAGACGCCAGGGTACTGTATGTCTGGAACCACATCTTTTACAGACGGGACCAGATCACGGATTTTATGTACTGTGTTGAATTGGACCTGGATCATGTGTTTAATCAGGATTTTGGAGATCTTTTTTGTGACCCCAGCAATGTAGGGTAAGGTGATGGTCTTGAAAGGCTCCTCAACAGGATCCTTCTTGATGGTTGCAGTGAAGGATCCTGTTGAGGAGCCTTTCAAGACCATCACCTTACCCTACATTGCTGGGGTCACACAAAAGATCTCCAAAATCCTGATTAAACACAAGATACAGGTCCGATTCAACACAGTACATAAAATCCGTGATCTGGTCCCGTCTGTAAAAGATGTGGTTCCAGACATACAGTACCCTGGCGTCTACAAACTAAGTTGCCTCTGTGGTAGCAGTTACATTGGAGAAACCAAACGACATGTCTCGGACCGCATCCGTGAACATAAAGCAGACCTGAAACACGGTAGAACAAACACCTCAGCCGTGGCAGATCACTGTTACAACTCAGTGGGCTCACATGACATTGACTTCTCCAAGACAGAGGTTCTCTGCAAGCCATCTGGCTATCATGAGAGATTCGTTCATGAGGCGATCCACATATACAAACACAGAGACAATTTCAACCGAGAAGATGGATTCTGGCTTAGCAATCATTGGAAGGACGTAATAAACCATTTCGGATCTTAACTGATTGTGTTCACGTTTACGGTGACTTTCAGACCACGTTCCACTCACTGGCATTGTATTCTCTACAGGGAATGTATTCTTTGCTCCGCTGCAAGTTTCCCCCCACGACTCACCCATTGACACGACGGTCAATGGTACAGTGTATAATAACAAATAGTATAACATTTATATGCTTAATACAATGTACAAAGTAATATATAGTATCGTAATTGTATAGTAAACATATAGCAGTGTGATACACATTAGGGTGGGTAGAATAATACATAGTGTTATATTAAAATGTATAAGGTATAGGGTGGTTTATAGCAATACAGTATATAATTTAATGTTGGGTTTGTCTATGGCAGTATATAGTACGGTGTATACTCGTGTGATGTAAAAGAATAAAGTTTAGATGGAAGCATATTATATAATTTTTACGACGTAGAATTGTAATGTATTACTTACTGTTAGTAACTCAGCTTACTTTAGAGTATAGTAAGTATACTGATGATGCTATGCAGTTTATACTTTAGTTTTTAATGTGGTTTATACTTTAGTTTTCTACGTGGTTGTTTAGTAACTGCAGCTACATACTATTAACATTCCTTTCCTTTGTTAATGCTACCCCCTGCACCCTCCCTTTTGGTGCTGCTGATCCTGCATAATGCATGGGCATAATATGACTTTGAACCCCCCCCGCCCACCTCCTACGCATTTTCCATGAAAATGCTAAATTCCTCTTGATATGCACATTCTTTTTGTTAAGGCGCTCTTCTTCTACCTCCAACCCAGCTTATATATAAGCTCCTAGCTTGGCAGTGTCTCATTCTTCACCTGAAGACGGCTGCTTGCATTGTAGCCGAAACGTCGTGAGAATGATTTTATTTTATTATGTTTTATTTTTATTATTTTATTACTTCCCTTCTACGTGACTTTACCGAAAGAACCAAGAAGATGAATCCCTGCAGTCACGAAAGCTTTAAATCGAGACATAATAGTAATTTAACTAATTGACATATCGCAAAAGAACATCAACAAGAATGATATATCAACATTAACAACAAAAAGATGAATGTTTGCATCAACAGCATCAACAGCATCAACAGCATCAACAACATCAACAACATCAACAACATCAACAACATCAACAACATCAACGACCCCCCCGAGAGATGATGGGCCAAGATGACCACCCCTCAAACCCGGATGTGAACCTGATGATTGCGAGTCACCTAAGGCACTGTAACTACTTCAACACGTGCCGTCAATGGCTGCAAAATTCCAACGCAGGGCTCAAGAGTAAGCAGCTCACCTTGCTCTGTTCCTCTATCTGAGTGCCACGCCGCCAGGCCTCCGAGAACATGGTGCTCACGATGCTCTGGGAGCGCGTGTGGCTCCCCGACGTCGCGTCCGACATGCCCACTTCCGTGTGGCCCGAATGGGACTCTGCATGAGAAACGGGTGATGAAAACATGGCAGGCCCCCCCAGGGAAATGCGTCCGTGGATTCGTGGTGTCCCCGTGCCAGGACATGTGCCGAGCGTTTCTTCTCTCAAGCTGATGCCTTTTGCTACTCGCTGTGGGGAATATTGAGCAGTGATGATTATCTGGGGTAGACAGAGCCAAGTTCCTGCCTCGCTGCACTTGCTAGAATGCAATGTAAAGCAGTTCAGGGCGATTTGTGATCCGACACTCACCGATTCACTAAAGTCACATGCTCACTGTCAGTCAGTCACCTCCTCATCACTCTTTCATTGCTACTATATTGTTATTGTTATGATGCATACATTGTTATTTTTCCTGTGAATTTGACACATTAATTACAACACCCATTATAAGGATTTGGGTCTGCCAGTTTATTTTTAATTTTTAATCAACACTGTTCAACAACCAAAGTTCAGCTCACATCACACCCACCTACCCACTCACGAAACCACCTACTTGCCACACTGCAGGTCACTACGCTTCTCCTTCTGCTTCTTCCTTTACCTGCTCCACTTTGGAATTCCCTTCCATCATCCCTTTTCCCGACCTCTCATGTAAACCTCACTTAATGCAACAAACGTTATAACTCCTTAACTAGTACAGATTTATCTTCTTGGTTCTTTCGGTAAAGTCACGTAGTAGGGAAATAATAAAATAAAATAAAAATTACATAATAAAATACAATTCTCACGACGTTTCGGCCACAACGCAAGCAGCCGTCCTCAGGTGAAGAACAGGTCTGTACTATATACTGCCATATACAAACCCAACATTAAATTATATATACCACCCCATACCTTAGACTATACATTGTAATATATAATAAATTACAATGTATAGTCTAAGGTATAGGGTGGTATAGTAATGCAGTATATAATTTAATGTTGGGTTTGTCTATGGCAGTATATAGTACGGGGTAGATCCGTGTGATGTAAGGAAAAAGTTTAGCTGGAGGCATAGTATATTTTTTGGGACGTAGAATTGTAATGTATGACTTACTGTTAGTAGTCTTAGTTCTTTCGGTAAAGTCACGTAGGTAAAATTTATGAAAATAAAACAATACAAATAACGACGTTTCGGAGGCAACACAAGCTTCCGTCTTCAGGTGAAACCGTCACAGCAAAATATCTGTACCTTATATAGTGGTTAAGGGGGGAGGAGCCAGGAAGGGCAGCGGGGGAGGAGGAGTTGTGAAGTGGTCAATTACTGCTTTTGTTATACTGCTGGGTGGGTAAATGAATTCGATACGATTAAGCCGCTCTTTGTTATGCTGTTTGTGCGCAAGTCACTGTGGGATGAATGGACTCGTGGTCAGGGACGTGTTGTGCAAGTAACTGTGGATGTACATAATAGAAAAGGAGCAGAAATGCCCATGTTTATACCAGTGTGGCTGACAATAAAGAGTACTGTTAAACGTTAGGGATGTTAACACTCGGTGAAGTAGAATAGTGCCTGTCAGATAAGATGGTCCAAAAATGTGTAATTAAATATTTTTTGCATGGTTGATAACATCTTTCCAATGATTACTAAGTTTGTACTCATCATCACGGTTGAAATTATGTCTGTGTTTGTCCTCCTCCCCCGCTGCCCTTCCTGGCTCCTCCCCCCTTAACCACTATATAAGGTACAGCTATTTTGCTGTGACGGTTTCACCTGAAGACGGAAGCTTGTGTTGCCTCCGAAACGTCGTGATTTTTATTGTTTTATTTTTTATTAATTTTACCTACGTGACTTGACCGAAAGAACTAAGAGTATGAATCCTTGCAGTCACGAAAGCTTCAAATCTAGAATTACTGTTCGTAGCTCAGCTTATTGGAGAGTATATTTAGTATATTTATATTGATGTAGTTTATATTTTAGTTTTTTACGTGGTGGTTTGCTGCTGCAGCTCCTTACTATTAAAATTCCTTCACTTTATTACTGCTAACCTTACCTCCTCCCTTTGTTGCTGCTAATCCTACATAATGCACGGGCATAATGACTTTGAGACCCCCCCACCTCCTATGCCATTCCACAAGTAGTGACTAATCCCATATCTGCATTTTCCATAAATATGCTAAATTCATCTGTTGATATGCAAATTCCTTTGTCAAGGCGCCCTTCCTCCCCTAACCCAGCTTAAATATACGCTGCCAAGCTTGGTGGTGTTCATTCAGACGCTGTCTTTCCGACAGACCTGTTCTTCACCTGAGGTCGGCTGCTTGCGTTGTGACCGAAACGTCGTGAGAATTGTATTTTATTATGTTTTATTTTTATTATTTTATTATTTCCCTTCTACGTGACTTTACCGAAAGAACCAAGAAGATGAATCCCTGCAGTCACGAAAGCTTTAATACAGATTTGATTATAGTGATGTTTGTTGTTGGCCGCTTTACATTATGGGTCTTTTGGCCTGTGCTCAGCAAGTGTTTATAAAAAACGGACATGGTAAAAATACACAGCTCCATAAACAACAGCTGTACATGTTTCTCTATATGTGCTTATACTCATGTACAGGCACACAATACGGAAGTCCCTCGGTTAACGTATTTAATCCGTTCCACACAAACTACTGTTCACCGAAATAACTGTTAATCGAATTCACTTATAAGTTGAAAAATAAGTAAAAATCACTGAGTATGTAAGAGAGCCGTTTCCACTGCCAAAACAGAAAGCGTAATGTAAACAAAGGCAGTCAAGGTCTAAGCGCTCACAAATGGGCGTTGCTGACTGACTCGTGCATGGCTCAGCCCCACTTGTGAGTGCTCGGACTGGCTGAAATTGGTGCCCGCGTGCATGACGTGAACATCCTGTTAATCAACATTTTTATATAAGTCGAAACCATGGGGAGTCCTATGGGAGGTGAAATGTTAACTGAAAAACCGGGAACCGATGTCACTGTTAACCGAAGGACTACTGTATGACTACCCATTCCTGTGTGCCGTGCCAGCCTTCATAAGTCTTCGCAAACAGCACTTGACCCAACAGTCTGATAAAGCTATACGGGGGGATGCTTTGTCTTTGCCTTTATTTTCGTGTATACAAATGAAGTACCGTTGATGACGCTTGGACACCGTTGTTGGGCACACGTATTTATTCGTACAAGTAGTCACACTGCGGACATACAATACTAGAGGGGTGTATCGGCCCCCTCACCCAGATAGCTGGGAATACTCTACTAGCTACCCCTGACCTACCTCCTAGTCCTCCACTAACGGGCTAGGGGAGGCTATCTGGCCCGACACTGGTCAGTCGGGCTACGGTACCCGGAGTCCCAGAGTACTAACTCTGGTTCACGGGACCCCGCCACTGGCTCGGTCCTGCGCGGCCCTGACAAGGGCGGCGTCCCAGGGGAGTCCAGGGCCCTAGCTAGTCGATCTTCCGTCTTCCCTCCTTTACTCTAAAACTCAACCCCGAGCTCTCCGGCTCATCCCTATTTATACCCCCCGGAGGATCACAACCCCCCCCGGGCAGCCCCCCAGGCCGCCCGGTGCGGACGTCGTTGCGGGCACCTCCCCGTGTACTCACGGAGCCCCGCAACTGTGTTTGTTACCCGTGTGATCCTATGCATACAGCCCCCCTGTAACAGCCCTACACAAACATGCAAGGCAGCTTTAAGAACCAGGGGATGGAGAACAAAAATTGCTTCTGAAATCCAGCAGGCCGCGATTGTAGTCAACTCCGAAATTCCGCAAGGCTAAACATCGTTTTGTTTAAAGTAGATATGCAAGTTCCAGTGAGTCTGGGACGTGGCTGCCGTTGCTATGGACGAGGTCGTCGTCGTCCCCCTTTTACAGCCAAAAAACTGCCGAGCAGACAACCCCATGCAACATGGCCACCGTGACATCATTGCTCTGCGCGCGTTCAGCAAGTCTGTGGCTGCTTATTTACGTGTATTGGAAATTATATACATGTTATTATTCATAATATGCGCTATAAATGTAATTCACGTTCATATTATTGGTTCTTTTGGTAAAGTCACGTAGAAGGTAAATAATAAAATAATAAAACATCATAAAATAAAATTCTCACGACGTTTCGGCCACAACACAAGCAGCCGTTCTCAGGTGATGAAACAGAGCTGTCGGAAAGACAGCGTCCAAATGAACACTGCTAAGCTTGGCAGCGTATTTTAAGCTGGGTGGGAGGAGGAGAGCGCCTTGACAAAGAAGTTTACATATCAACAGAGGAATGTAGCATATTGATGACAAATGCAGATATGGGATGAGTCACTCCTTGTGGAATGTGTAGGCGGTGGGGGGTCTCAAAGTCATATTATGCGAGTGTATTATGTAGGATTAGCAGTAATAAAGGGAGGGAAATTTTAATAATAAAGAACTGCAACAGCCCAAACCACTGCGTAATCAAGCTAGTGCATTATGTGGAAAACAAAAAAGGAGTTTCTAAAGAACTACACATACCCTACTATCATACAATAAACCGATGTGAAAAAGCTAAATATAAGCTACATCAATATAATCAATGTACTCAATATATTCTCCAATAAGCTGAGCTGTTAACATTAAGTAACTGGGTATACACTACACTATATTATGACTACCATATAGTAAACTGATAAAAAGCCTAAAATATAAACTACATCAATATAATCAATAAACTCAATATACTCTCCAATAAGCTGAGCTACTAACAATAAGTCATTTTGCATTACACTTCTATGTCGAAAAATGTGTCGGTTTTATCTTTAACGTTAGCACCTACGGAAAGCGGCGAGCGTTGTTCAGACAGACGAGTCCATCTATGCTCGGAACGGAGGAGGGGGGAGATAGAGAGAAACAACCATGGTGCGCTATTCTGTCCTGTGCTGCAATACAACTATGCTACAAACTAGACTACTATACATCATAATATTATACCTTCCAATCTAAACTACACTGTATGATATCGTATACACAGCCCTAACATCATGCATTATATTGATATGCCTCCAACTCAACTTTTTTTCTACATCACACGACTATA